GCGAAAAATGATCGATCTCGTGAGTTTTTCAAAGACCTCAAATAGCACTCGTCCTTCGGACTCGTGCTATTTTGAGGTCTTTGAAAAACTCACTCGTGCATGTTATATCCAAATTGCACTCGAAACCATGCTATTACCTATACAAACAGCAGTGCAAAAATCTGTAACAACAGTGCAAAGATCTGTAACAACAGTGCAAAAATCTGTAACAAACTGATCTGATTGGTGGAAAAACATTGTGATGATAAAATCAACCAATCTGTTTAAAGCAGTTTAGTTTAAAGAAGTAAACGATCACAGATAGCTTCAAAACAAAACAAACATGGCGCCGCGCTACATAAATTGGAAAATTGCGTGGAAAATTTGGCTTTTATCTTTATTTTTAAAAGGAAAAGCATTTACCTTAAACAAGACTAACAAAAAGTACATAGTTGAGTGGAATTTTGAAGCTGTTAGGGTTGTATAATGTGATATAACAAAGCCAGGAAAACTTATTTGCCAGTGGAAAGTTCGCTATAAACGCGTAAGTTAATAAATAAAACTACAATTGTCTCGAACATTTTTATGTAAATTATTTATAAGTAATAGCATGGTTTCTCGTGAAATTTGGATGAACATGCACTCGTGAGTTTTTCAATGACCTCAAATAGCACTCGTCCTTCGAACTCGTGCTATTTTGAGGTCTTTGAAAAACTCACTCGTGCATGTTATATCCAAATTGCACTCGAAACCATGCATGCTATTACCTATACTAAAACTATGCAAATATCATCGGATAATGCTTATTTTGAAGGTCAGAGTGAGTGTTAACCGTAAACTTTATTTATGTGCTAAATATGAAGGTATACATGTATATCTCCTAAGACATTTCGATGGATTGGATTTCTCTCAAAACCAAAGTGCTAAACTTCATATAGTAGTGTAGTTTTAATTATTTTTATTGGCTGATCATCTAGCTGATTAACATATGTATAATATTCATGGTAATATTCGCATGGTACAAATTCTCTTCGCGAGATTTATTCCTTCGCGTTGGTATTAGAATGGGACAGAATACTTTGGTTTCACTTTTTAATTTTCTCTTCATGGCCCCTTCATGAATTACTTAATTAAGTAACAATCATTATCTACACGTACGTATGACTGAACACTGCTGTCGGTTGTTTCATTCTTTTTCTCTCGTTTTCTCAAACAATCTAATCCCGTTTATTTATTCTGTCCTGTTGGTCGAACCATGGAATCGAAACTTTCGATCGCACAGGAAGGTCAATGCGTATGCGTGACGCACATTGATGCAAAACAAATCCTCGTCTGGTTGACCACAAATCCTAAAGCACAAAGTAAAGACATACAGAGACGTAACTGGCCGTCGTAAACACTGCGGAAGATTACGTTATCATGTACCCACATTTTTTCAGGCGACCGGGCGAAAAATGATCAACTGCGCGTGCTCAGCAAGTTTAAAGTGAGTCGTCATCAGGTCGTCATCCAATCAGATGCATGCATCTAGTAACTTGCCGAGCATGCGCATAAAAAAGTGGGTACACTAGTTACGTCTCTGTATGTCTCTGCTCTGTGTCTAAAGTTAATTCATCAATAATCGCGGGCGTGGGTCACCAACGGTGTTCGAGTGTTGGGTGGGTGGTCATCCTCACTGATCTCAAAAATATGGCGGACTGTCATGAATAGCGAAATTGGTCAAATTTAAAATTTGCATTTTAACGACATATATGACAACAGCGAAAGAGCAAACATTTCTTGATTTGATGATTTCTTGCAAATGTATTTCATTTTTGCAAGATTTTGTGAATTTCAAAAGCTTTCTAAGAAAATAAAGACGACAGAATTGCTAAAAGAAGGGAGTAAAGGCGCCGACGTTAACGAAGGTAGGTTTGTTTTAAATATTGACGTATTCGCTTTATAATTGCTTTAAAAGCTGATCGTTAAGTATATTTCAAATGAAAAAGACAGCACATAATTTCAGTTTTCTTTATTGATTACCCTTTTTTATTATATTAAAATTTTTAAATAAAAAAGAAAGCAAAGTTGTTTGAATGCGAGAATTTGAAATCATTTTATTTCAAACTCAAAGTTTATCGTCTATCGATCACGGCAGTTTAGTTTTATAAAGAACATTTTAAAACGTCTTGCGAATCGTTTGAGGTTGAATTTTACCTTAAATTGAAGCTTATATTACGTATAATAACATACCTAACATATATATGTTTGGGGAATTGATAATTTTGTAATTAAAAGTGATACTGATTTTTAGGGGATTTTTGACATTTTTCATTTGTAAAAAAATTATCGTGTTACCATGACAACTACTTTAAATACTCCATGTTCGGAAAATACAATGGTTTTGTCAGCAAGGCGAGGGGTTTCTGCATGCATGTATTTTCTAGTCCATCTTATAATTTCCTATAATCCATCTAACTCATCTATAATTTACCGAATTTATCTAACTCATCTCAATCTTATCTAACTCATCTCACACGCAGGTGTTTTAACAAGCCAACTAACAATACCATGTTTCTCTTTAGCATATAACTTTGAGTTGCGGAATCAGAACCGAATACTGCATTTCCCTGAAATGTTGTTATAAAATTCGAATTTCGGTTATTAAATAAAAAATTACGGACGGCCACAACTCTCCCATCCAAAATGAAGAAATCAAAATGATAGTTTGTGTGTTTTTTTTTCTTGTAACAAAAAATGCATCGACAGTCACTTTTCTAGGTTCACTATAATAGTGTTGCAGTGTTTCTTGTTATTCACGCTTTCAAAATGGCTTCTTGTGTGACTTTATTGCTTTATTACAAAGTTGTTTTTCTCGATTTCTGCTTGGAATATAAACACAATAACGGAATGACTCTTTCACCGACAATAACGGAATGACTCTTTCACCAGACAAAACAGAAACTATTTTTAATTCTAAGTCTTGCATTAATTTCTTCGGGAATGGATGAGGAATTTGGTAAAATGAAATGTAAAACTACATCGTTCGAAATAAAGTTTTAATAACACTTTTTACGTTACAAGTTTCGAAAACACAATACAGCGGTCAGAACACCATACAGTACAATGAAAACATGACATATCAAAAGAAATAGTATCGTACAAATTGGGAAATCTATAGCATACAAAATAAAATGGATTTTAAAGAATATCACGGCAAGGTTTTTCCCAAAGGTCGGGATGGTTTTTGCTATTTGTTTGAAGTGAATGTTTCGGAGTTTGAATAAGTTTTAAATTGTCCTTGAATATGTTTGACACAGTAAAATAATAAAGGAATCCTATACCTTTCAAGTAAAATACAACATTTTGTGCTTCTTTCGTTTTCTGGGGACGATATTTCAATATTTTGTCGATTTTGAAACCAACTTTTTGAAAAGCATTATTTACTACCCAGGTGGTAAGTAATGCCTCAGATTTATTAGTCAGCTAGCCAATCAGAACGCGCGAAAGCTCATTTGATATGCAAAATTTATTCTAAATCCTAAGCCAGTGCGAGGTTGCGGTACCGGTAGTGGGGGTCAATTCAGAACCATTCTAATGACTGGAGTGGGACGGAAAGTATTCGAAGCAAACAAAATCTTCATGCATTTGAATAATTTACGATCGCAGGGGTATCCTCAACAACGCTATCATTCTGAACACAACGTTAAACCAAGGTTTTCACGTCATTATAGCAACGTCAATGCAGGGGCGTAACGGAAGAAGAGTGGTCCCTCAGGCATATTTGGTGTAGGGGCCCCTGCACGTTGACTGTTGTCATTGCTTGACTGGCATCTTATGTCTATATGGAATATTTATAGAATGTTCCGGAAAATTCCGTGTCTATAACAATAATGGTCTCCAACACAAGTAACAACTAATAAGAATAACTTTTGAGATGAAATAAAAAAATCAGCTACCGTTGTAGATGGGGGCTTTATTATTTAGCATTATTAATTTTGCATTTTCCCATTGATTTTAACCAGCATTTCTTTTACGTTTTCTAATATTCTGGGTGGCGTGGCTAATGGGGGCCCCTAACCTTCGGATCCCTTTGTTTTTGAACTAACCCTACCCAATTACGCCACTGCGTGAATACTTGCTGCGAGGTTGTAGGAGCTACATAAAATATTAATGTCGCATACTGCAGACACCGGATCGTTCTTCCAAACGTAGCTAGCCCTTCGTAAGAAAAATCGTTATCCGGTGAATAGCATGCAGTTCCCGACCTTCGTCCAACCGGCGTCCATTTACGTATACCAACGCATTCTAATTCCAATTAATAACTAACCTGTATTTGTTATAACCGCCAATGGTAGCTGCAAGCTTATCAGCTACGTAAATTCTGTATGACCATGCAAAGGATCCTATTACTAACTGTAAGACAAATAAACGTAATAAATAATTCTTTCTAAACTCTTTGAAACCCCACAACATGGCGACGCATACCGGAAACGCTGCAAACAAAGGTAGAAATGTGGCACAGCCTCCAACAGTTTGCAAGATCTCTACGTTTCTTGGAATAGTGAGATTCTTATGCAGAACCCATTCTATACATGCGTTAGTGGTTATCAAGTCCACCAACACAACCCCAATTGTGAGCAAGCCTAATATGAAAACAGCCACTATTATTAGTCCAACATTTGCTTTAAAACTTCGGAGAAATGATTCGCAGAAATTTCGCTGTGGTTGTTCATTAGCTTGCACTAAAACAGATACATCTTCTTCATAATAAGGCAATGCCGTCGGTGTCTCTTGCTCATACTCCCGGTGTATTAAGCCATCGTACACTTCGTCTCGCTCAGGATTTTCTTCAAATATCAAAGTGTAATCCCTTTTCAGATTTTCTCGGGTTATCGCCGGTGTTTTAATTATCACACTCGACACAACTGACACAAAACTACCAAATAGTTCTTCCAGAATCATAATCCTGGCTCAATTTGAGATGTAACAGTGAAGCTGTTAATAATTAAGCTTTTTCAAAACCGTATTCACAAATCTTAAGCTCATTCACACTAGCTCAGCATGTGCAAAATATTATCGGTTTCCTTTTCGGTATTTGATAACAATGAAATCTATAATTAATTCACCAAGGTCAGCTTCATGTCATTATGAACAAAAAAAACTCGAGATATGGAGCGGAAATTGTCAGCTGTCAATTGAACCAATGGAGACATGCATAAAAATCTTGTACATTAAGTCTGAAAACAAGTGGCCGTCAACAAGTTCTGTTCGCACAGCTTGGACCTAGTCGGTCAACAAGTGTGGAACAAGCTGATGTTAAAAGTTGTAACAATCTTGTTGATATCATCAGAATGATCAGATCTGTTGCAAGGTTGTTTCACAGGTCCGATACAGTCATGATATAACCTTATGTCCTAAACCTTGTAACATTCTTGTTATATAATACTGAGACATCTTAAGATTGACGTTTACGGCAAACGTCAAACCGCTAGCGAAGTTTTTGATTTTACAACCCTATTATAATAGCTTTTACACCACTGAGTTTTGAAATGTGTTAAACAATTATTAATAAACTTATGCTCTTTAGCAATGATTTAATTAAATTAAGAAAGCAAATTAACCACTAGTCATGTATTCACCAAAGCAGTAAATTGAAATTTAGCGTTTGAAGTTTATGTTCGGCGTATAAATTTCATGCTTTGACGACTACAAGCCCTCGTAGCAGTTCAAGTAGTTAACCTGCACCTCAGCACGAGAACGAACGAATAGCCTCATTAACTGAACGACAGTACTCATTCGTATGATAGACGTTTTCTATTGGCTATGAGATAAACTCATTATAATACTCGTAAACTTTCGTTTGTTGTTTATATTAAATATATCAAGCCATATTGACCGTGACGGTAGCGGCTCCAGGGAGTAAATAACGCAATCAATGCAGCAATAAATGCATTGGTCATTGCTGTTTACAGCGGTAAAACCAGCAGCATATACAGTCTACCCGCGGCACGGAACACAAACTATAAGCTATAGGCAAGTTTAACAAGAGATCCACTTGTGCATTTCAGCATACGTCTATGCGATAGCCTGTGAAACTTCCAGAATAAATGCCAATCAGGTCTATAGTGCAATCGTCCCGTTTCCGTGTTCCAACTTTGAAACATGTTTACAACTTGTATAAGTTCAGCTTTGTAAACTATACCGCGCCAAGTATATTAATTTCCGATTCAAAATACCATTCCATGACCATATTTTCTACAATATTCAAGTAGACCTCGCTTTCCCCTGCATCGATCGGCAACAACTTTAAAGCAAGTAGCTAACAAAGTCTATACATGCATGCATGCATGCATGGCAAATATTAGGTCAATCTTTTGAAATAACTTAACGTTTTTTGGGGAAGTGCACTGAAAACTCACAGTTGATATTGTTAGAACCTCTTGCCTCTTGGGAAATTTATGCATGACGTTATTTGAATTTAGAAAATAAACTAACAAGCTAGCTGAATTTCGAGTATTCCCAGTACGCGTCAGCTTGTGTCGCACAATATTCAGTACGTATTATCCCCGAGCCAGGGCGCTTATATAGAGGGCGGTGAAACGCGCTGATGTCGTGCTGATCGATGTGTGATGCGGAAAAGGACTGGCACGAGCGTGCTTTTCGGCAA